TTATATTAATACAAATTGTGAAAATATTCTTTCCTTCTCAACGTAAACACTTGCGCAACATATGTTTGCTAATGTCAAAATCATCTGGTATGCTTTCAAAACTTTGCAAAAGCTTTCCACCTAAAAAGCTATTGCAGGCTTATTGAATGCATTATAGTCAATTATAGGAAATTTTTGTAAATTTTATAAATAAATTTTTTCAAGGAAACATGTTTCAAATAAAAATTAAAATAATTATCTGAGCCTTTTTTTGAAATATAAATGAGGTATTAAGTAAGATATGATGAATGAGATATTTTTCATATATATATTCTTAGGTAAGCGAGCAGAAATGTCTAAAATGTGTTAAATAATAGGAATAAGCAAGAATATGTTTATCACAGACAGATACGAAAGTCAACGATCGGGCGGACGGACAGGCTAAGATCAATTTATTATTTGATGTTAAGCAAAATTAACTACCTTTTATGGGATTTCTGAAGCATCGTTCTAGGCAATAGAAACGGTTCGTTAAAACAACAACATTTCCGTAATCTTTAATACTGAATAAACATGACAGATTTTCTTGCAGGCATTGCAGGGTCGCCTATGAAATATATATGCGAAATCCGATATTGTCTGTAGCGATTTATTAGTAAACAGTAAAAAGAACTTTTTTTTTTTTGATTTCAAAAACAGATGTGTTCTTAGTTAAGGCTGTACTGTGGGCGTGTCTCTTGACCGATTAGATTCATTTTCAATATCAATTTGAGTGAAGAAACTTGTCTGTTATTCTGTAAAAAGTTGTTGCGTAGACAAATCAACATATCAAACATATTACTTACTGTTCACATAAAGACATTAGACTTGCATGAATTATGATCAAAATACCAACTACAAATGACTACTAACCACACTTGCATGAATTATGATCAAAATACCATCTACTCGAACTCTGTCACTTAAGTGCAACTAAAAAGATAGCATACGTTTAGGAAAAGATTTAAAATAATCGCTTAAATTGAGCATGTTTTCACTAACCTAAGCCAAATAGCTAACGAACGCTTCGTTAAATAAAACTAAGCAAGTCTTCTTATTCGCCTTTTGTGCTTGCCTCTTGCCTATTATCAGTTGCAATGATTTCAGTACAATTTCTACAGCCTTATCGACTTATCGATATGTATAAAAACATAATAAAATGCTAAAAGTGTATAGCATGCCCTAAAAAAGTAAAAAAGATTTTTTTCACTATTCTAGCCTCTCTTTGATCTGACGCGAGACGAGAATGCGAATATTCGTAGTTTTATTAAATTTTTTTTAGTTTTTCAACTTTGAGTAGTTGAAACTTTGAGTATTTATAACTATCAATAGCTATGAATATTTTACGATATTATGTGTTCTACAGAAATTCTATTTTATAGTTTATTATAAAGTATTATAAAGAAATAGTTTTGATTATCTATTACTGCTAGTACTAAGTTTTCATAATTGACTGAACCTGATGCACTGATTGACTGGACTGATGGATGAATCACATATATATGTATATATATATATATTTCGACAAGGCACAATAGCAAAAATAAAAATTATGTTAGAGAATTAAATCTTAATTCAATCTGATTGAAATTTGAATTACATTGATGTGGAATGAATTTTAAAGCAATCCTTTCTTCCTGTGCGCGTTGTTTATATCGCCCACTTCAGCTTGTATTCGCAGCTTGACATTTTAAATAAATACACTTTTACTTTCTCGCAGTATTGTATTTCGGGACAATGAAAATGTCAGCAGAATGGTGAAATGTTTCTTTTTTTAGTAATGGATACGTCACCTCTTCGAATTATTACACTGGCTTTTATTATTTATATGAATTTTGTCAATGTATAAAACAAATTTATTATTATTATTATTATTATTATTAATTTCGCCAGAGAAATAAATTCTAAGACTAAACTCTTAAAAGCACTAGCATCTAAGGCTATCGGCCTATAAAACAATTGAATTAATATAAAATTTTGAATAAATATTGCAACTATATATAAATCGTATATCTATATGTAAATCATTTAGCATTTAAGATTTTACAGAACCAGGTTTTGGAATCATATATAGCCACGCCAGTTAGTCGAGTGTACTCTAAAATTGCTTCGAACTGTTCCTTAAACGTGCAATAGTATTTCATTTTTAGCATAATTATCACCATTTGTGCAAGTGTGGATTTAAGAGGTTTGTCGACGGTATTTGTGTGGATCTAAAAGGTTTTTAGACCGTATTGGTTTGATTATTAGCTGTTTTTAGACGGTATTGGTTTGGTTATTATCTGTTTGTAGAAACTAATGCTTTATGTGAAATTCAAAGCAAAAGCAATCATTCAAACATTCTTTTATATATATTTTATTTGTATTATTATTATTATTATTATAATTTTAGACTAATGAAATAAATTTTAAATAATAAATTCTAAAAAAAGAAAGACATTGAGCACTAGCAACACATGCTATCGGCTCTAATTTAAATACATGTACATTAGATAATGAGCTTAGTAGTATTAATAAAGTAATATATAGAACTGATATTCAATTCTGAAGCTGATTTTAGAATATCCAAAGAGTTAATCGTTCCAAATGCAATACTTCTAGCCAAGGAAAAGTTAAGGCAGTCGCAGAGAATGTGCTTTATAGTTAGAGTGCAGATTGGGGAGAAAGACTTCTTCAAGATCCATTGGTGAGTGGCAATTGTATGACCAAGGCGAATTCTGGAAAATGTTTGGATCTTGGTTTTTTCAACATTTGTTCGATATAAAGGTGGAGTTAATTGAGGGTTAATGGAAGAGTAGTGTTGATGATCGTATCGTAAATTTCCTTCTGCAATTTTCTCTTTAACTTTTCTTCCAATGTATCTTTGAAGATCCAACTTTTCCATGACATCATCCATAATTAAAGGAGCAGAAGCAGCATACTTTGCCGCTCGATCAACCTGCTCATTTCCCGATAAACCGATTTGACTTGGTATCCATAACATTTTAATTTTTTCATCGGGTGTTGTAATTTTATTCCTTAATTTTTTGATGGTGCTCCATCTCGAAGTCGAACGATTCCAAATAGCTTGTAATACAGACAAACTGTCGGTAACAATGACGGTTTTGAGTTTGTTTTTATGGGCAAGGTTCGCAGCGTGAAGGATAGCTCTGGCTTCGGTTGTGAAAGTTGAAGTACTTTCGTGAAATATGTGATTGAGAAGAACCTGTCCTGTAGCATCTACCACGGCACAAGCAGCAGGCAGGCCAAAAGATTTTGAGCCGTCTGTTTATAAAAGATTCCAACCAGTATCCTCCAATACTTGGGTTTTTTCAGCTATTAGATTCCTGAAGACGTAATTTGGAATATTTTCTTTCTTGTGCATAGACAGCGAGATGTCACAAGAGCAGTCTTTCATAATCCATGGAGGTTTAACACCAAAAGTGCGGAAAATTTTTGAGGGAATTTTCAATTCCTTTGCGACGTACAAACAATGGTCAGTTGCAGATGGTGACTTTGGAATTTTCTTCGCAATAATAATCTTTCTCACGTCATCACCGAGAATAGATTTGTTTGAATTAAGAAGCTTGGGGACTATTTTGGCTTTTAACTCATAAAGTCTATTTTCTAAAGTTGGGAGACCAGTTTCAATTATAATATTATTTATGGGCGTGATCCGAAAAGCATAACAACTTGCTCTGACGGCTTGATGATAGAGCGGTTTAAGGCTGTTAATATTAGATCTGCAGCTATTGCCATAAATTATCAATCTTGCTTAACACAAGCATTTTGGTAAGATAAGCAATAGTGTTAATATGTGCACGGCTTCTCCAAGCAACGTACTGTATGAAATTCACTCTTGTTAAAAGAGAGTTTTTTAACCGAAGACAGCGTGTTTCCCA